AAAAAAAAAAAAAAAAAAATCATTTTCGTAAAAGGTGGAAATAAAAGAAAACTATTAATTAGAGTCAGAATTGGTTTCAATATCTGACTAGATGTTTATAAACAATAGCAGATGAGAGATGGATACGTGAATAATACTTATAAATGTAAAAAAAAAATAAAAAAAATGTATGAATAGCAGAAATTGACCAAAAATATTTTTTGATCAAAGTGTTTTATAAATATAATACCTCGAAACACCAATAGATGGATATTTGCATCAGTTATGCTACAGGTACAGAAAAATTGACAGAATTTTTAAAGAACAACATTTGGCAATTTTTCATTGATTTTGAACCCAATAATGATAGAAAATACACCATACAAGTTCTGTCAACACGCACCTGTGTGGTTTATGTGAATAAATAATTCTAGGAATTATTCTATTTGCATTGAAAATTTCTCTTGAAAACTAGGCCTTTCTGGTGAGTCTTTGTACAGGTTGACAGGAGCGAACACAAACCTTAAAAGTTAGGGGTAACAATCAAACTTGCAAAGAAGTTAAGGAGAAATTTTACAATCTAAAATTTACGTCCAAAAAAATCATACCCCATGTAATTTTACATCCGAAAATTTAAATGGGATATGACTTTTTTGGATGTAAAAATGGGAGTTAGACTATTTTTTTAAGACTCACATTTAATGTATTTTTAACAAACATGGGATATGACTTTTTCGAATAATTTCGAAAATTTTTGATGTCATATTTCATGTAAAATTTCCTAATAAAATAATAAAATTATATTGAGAAATTTGTATCGTAAAAATAATAAATGTTAATGAAATAATTAATTTTTTTTTAAAAATATACGAGTTAGATGTCTTTTTTTAAGACTCACGTTTAACGTATTTTTAACTATTTTCGATATCTGTTTGGACAATTCGACATGCTCATAATGTAGTTCCCAAAATAAGTTTTGAGATGACATAAGCAATTTATAAATTCGATTATCGTACGATCATTGGAGAATTTTTAAAATTAGCATAGTATCGAAATTCAAATTTATTGTGATTTTGCCCCTATTTGGTGAAGATTAAAATCAAATTTTTAGTAAATTTTGATAAAAATTAAACAGTTATGGATTCCATGAAATATGTTATTAAGGGCATGTTTGGTAGGGATTCTCATTTTCTACAGTAAATCAATTCTTATTTTCAACCACACATTCTTCAATAAAATAATATTTTCCATCACATCAATAATTTTTTCTTCTTTTTCAACCACACATTTCCCATCATATCACTATTCAAAATCAATTCTTCCATCAAAATTTCGGTACAAGGGGATAAACCCAAATATGTTTAGGGCTCCAAGTAAAACTTCAAAAATTCAAGATTGTTCGTTCCATATTAGGACATTGTTAGGTTTTTAGAGTTGTCAACCACAAAATATACTAACATAATAATATACTAAATGTTTGTTGACATGCCACGTCTTTCTTCGAGTTATATTAAGAATATTTTTATACATGTTTAGTCTCAATTTTTAACTTTTTTTTGTTTTTTTTTTGGGATTCGTAATTTTATCAACTTTTCAATTATAAATTTCAACAACTTTTATGAAAATCTATTAAAAATTTAATTTTTAGTCAAATCAAACATGAGCTTAATATGTTAAATTGTGACATTTTCTTTACTTATGTTTAATCCTATTAGTCACATATAACATTTCCCATGAAGTATTAATAGTTTAATATTGCACAAGTGTCTTTTGTTGTTATTAATTCATCAAATCATTTGTTTACGGGATTTTAAGAATAGTCAACGAGTGGATTGATCGAAGGCATAGAAAATTGAGTTTTTTAATTATTTTTTTATCAAATAAATTCAGAATTCTATTCCGATTATGACTTTTAATTTTTGTTATTATCTAGATGTTACTAGTTAATTAAGATTAATCATTAATTGGATGTTTTATTCGCTATAAATGAGGGTTGTAGTCTTAGTGGTAGGAAAGTTATTTTTGAATTGAAATAAAATATTAATTATTGAAATTTTCTTCAATTTGTCGATCCTAAATTAGTATTCATTAGAATCAACGATTTTGCAGTCAAGATCAAGAATTCGATATTTCTTGTGAAGAATCAATGAATATTTGATTTCTAAATTCATTGTAGTTTTTGTTTGTCATCCGCACTACATCACATGCACGGAAGTTGCATCGATCACTATTCAAGTATTTATCAAGTTAAATACAATAAGAAAAAGCAAATCAAAATTAAAATGTTCACGTAGTTCAAGATACATAAGCAAACACATCATCACGACTGGTGAGTTTAATGTAAAAGTTTGGGCAATAAGCTACGTTGTGGTTTTACTTGGTAAACATTGCAAGTAATTTTACATAAGCAATTGGGTCACTTAGACAGGTCAATTCTATCTTTTGTGTCTGAAAGGTTGAACTTGAATTTTGACTTCATCAAACTTATATTATAATAACTTTCTAAACAAGGAAATAATTTCTATTATTTATTATTATTATTATTATTGTTATTAGTACTTTTTGTTTTTATGGGAGGGAGAAGATATTTGAAAGGAAAATTCATTTTTGTTCATTTTAACATTTATGTTCTCGATTTATTTATATTGATAGTTTATGTTCAAGTATTTTGTTGGTATTAGAAAAATATATATTATTGAAGATTTAAAATAGCAGGTATCTGAAAGTAACAAAAATTGGACGAAGAAAGTTATAATATAAATGCAGAAATAAGAAAAAGAACATTTTCGTGAAAAACAACAATACAACCTCATCCTCAAATAAGTCAATTCCACGTGTTTCTCTCCCCCTCGACAACTCGTCTCCCTCTTCAGCTCTTCTCGCTCCTATATATACAACACACATGTTTCAGCTTTTGTAACATTTAACTTTGAAATCCCACAAAACAGAGAGAATATAACACCTCACTAGTCACTCCTATTGATTCGGACTTCCGCTCTTAACCCGCCCATCCTTCTCTATTTTCTCGGCTCAAACATTCTCGTACATTAAGGTAAATTTTTAAATCCTTCTTGTTTTGTTTTTCTTTTCTGGTTTTCCTTCTGAACAACATGGTGACTCAAGCTTTCCTTTTTAATTCACGAATTGGTTTTTCGACGTTATAGATCTGTCTCTGAATTTTTATAAAAACTGAAAATGACCTCAAATCTCTCTCTCTCTCTCTCTCTCTCTCTTCTTCTTCTTCTTCTTCCCTTTTTTTTTTGGTTAACTTTTTTTTCCGTTTGATGGGATCTATGTGACATTTGCTTTCTGTACTGGCATTGTTACTGTCCGTCTTATTTTAAATAATTTATCGAAAATGATGTTGGGCTTGTTTTCTTTGATTTTCTTGAAGTTAAACGTTGTAATGTACCATATGACATAGCTTTATTTGGATTTGATTATGTAATATTGACTTACAAGTAAATATTTCCCTTGACAAAAATCCAGGTGCCTGCGCTGTTCATAATCCATTCTGAGATTGCATGGGGGTATCTTGTTCGTGTCTGGTCGGTGTTTATAGTGATTTAGAGAGTGGTTATGAATCTGTCATTTCAAAATCGATTAACCTTGGGGATGTCGAACCAACGATAGGGATGGGGAAAATGTTGACTGAAGGATCTTTTAGCTTCAGGACAAGAGAAGATAAATGTGCATGCCAAGAAATGATTAGTCCAGTTTCGATAGAGGGAATCCCACAGTTGACTGGATCGAAACCTAGCAGCCCCAAACATGAGGCTGCTGTAAAGTTGCAGAAAGTGTACAAAAGCTTCCGAACACGAAGAAAGTTAGCAGATTGTGCTGTTCTTGTGGAGCAGAGCTGGTGGAAGCTATTAGATTTTGCCCAACTCAAGCATAGTTCCATCTCATTTTTTGATCTTGAGAAACACGAGACTGCCGTGTCACGCTGGTCGAGAGCAAGAACAATGGCTGCCAAGGTGACGTTCAATTAATTTTATTGTGCACTTGTGCAAACTTAGCTTTGATAAAAGCTATGAATTTTCTTACATTGATTACCGTTTTCATCGCAGGTTGGGAAAGGTTTATCGAAGAACAGCAAAGCCCAAAAACTTGCTTTACAACATTGGCTCGAAGCGGTGAGACTCTAATATCCTTACCATTCTTTGTAATCAAAAATTGTTGCTGACTCTATCTTTTTGTGTTGAGCAGATCGATCCACGACATCGTTATGGGCACAATCTGCATTTCTATTATGTGAAATGGCTGAATTCTCAAAGCATGGAACCCTTCTTCTACTGGTAATTATCTGCCAAGTGCCAAGTGAAAATATTTATTTTGTCACAAGAAATGTTCGAGTGGCGATATAATTTTTACATTTTGATATTAACCATACTATTCTGATTATGCAGGCTTGATATAGGAGAAGGCAAGGAGGTTAACCTCGTCGAGAAATGTTCTCGATCAAAACTTCAACAACAGTGCATCAAGTATCTTGGTCCGGTGTGTCCTTATGTCTCTCATTATTCTCTTTCTCGGTTCAATTTTAATTGAATAATTCTTCCAACCTCGGAGAATTTTAGTACTTAAGAGTTTTCCAATTTTCTCTCACAGATGGAAAGAAAGGCTTATGAAGTTGTAGTGGAGGACGGAAAACTCTGCTACAAGCAAACAGGGGAGCTCCTGGACACCACTATAGAACCAAAAAGTGCTAAGTGGATTTTTGTCCTGAGCACCTCTAGAACATTATATGTAGGCAAGAAAAAGAAAGGCACATTTCAGCACTCCAGTTTCCTGGCTGGAGGAGCCACATTGGCAGCCGGGAGGATTGTTGTCGAAAATGGAATCTTAAAGGTAATTTTACTTGAAAAGAAAATCTCGTCATTCAAAAAGGTTATTTTGTTACTTGATTTTTGCCCATTTGAATGTGAACTTAAATTCATTCTTTGGTGAATTTCAACAGGCAGTCTGGCCTCACAGTGGCCATTATCGGCCGACCCCAGAAAATTTTCAGGACTTCATATCATTTCTCAGAGAGAATAATGTGGATCTCGCAGATGTTAAGGTATAGAAAAATTTAAAATTTGTCTTTTGATGTCCACTATGATCTAATGCTTTTTATTAAAGATGCACTTCATGTTTTGTACAATGAGAAATTAAGATTTAAAGGCCGAGTAATTTTAATCTTTTTTTGTCCAGCTTGATTCCATTGATGATGAAGAAGAAGAATCTGCGGGAAAGAAGGGAGGTTTATTCTTGAGAAGTAACTCCTCCGAAGAAGACTTGGCTGAAAAGGATCGATTAGAGATCGTAGAAAACAATACTGAAGACTCCATTTCGCATAAAGTTGTATCAAGAGGAGAAGAACAACAACAAGAAGGAGGAGAAGAAGAAGAAGAGACTCCTACGGCAGTAGAGATGCCTGAATCGAGAACATCTCATGACTTCAGTAAAAAACTTACTACTCTAGAAATACCAAGCAAAGACGATTTGTTGGAGACATTAAAGATTGAAAACAGGGTGGTAGAATTAAAAAGTCAAAATTTCTTGCCGGGATCACCTATGGGTGGCTATGAAACGGCAGAAGAGTCTTTTGCTTCAAAGCCTCGTTCCGTCAATCAAAAGCATGACACGTCTGATCAGGAACATGATGAGAGTAATGAGGAGATCATTTCAGAAGAATCAATTCTCCAGAGGATAAATTCTTATAAAGATATGAAGTCATTTCAATTAGGGAACAAATTATCTTGCAAATGGAGTACAGGAGCTGGACCCCGAATAGGATGTTTAAGAGACTATCCTTCGAGGCTCCAGTACCATGCTTTGGAGCAAGTGAATTTATCCCCAAGAACTAAACGCCACTTAAGATTAGACTCCCCTTCTCGGGAATCAACACCGACCGGCTTTGGTAGGGAAACACCGACTTGTTCTAGCTCATCTCCTCTAGACAAATCGAATCTTTCTCATAATAGCAGTCACCGTTCTATGACGCAGTCCTCCCTTTCTGTGAAGGAACTTACTGAGGCTTTGTCTGGGAGAAATTTTCAAACCAAATTTAGTTGCTGAAACACAAGTAGTCACAGTTTATTTTTTTATCCATTCTTTTGTTTGAATAGAATAAATGATATAGCAATTTTCGATAGGTATTCTTAAAACTATATATATTATATTAGTGCTTGTATTCGAGTTTTGTTTTATCATCTTGTACAGTACAGGATGAAAAAATTGTAAAATTTTGAGTGTTTTGTACCCCTTGCAATTCAAAAGGAAATATTTTAAGTTCTTTCAACCGTTCTTGTTCTAATTTTGTGGGCATTTGTATATGCATGGCTTTTGCATTTTGATTACTATAATGTATAGCTTCATGAAAATAGGCTTCAACAATTTTCCGCGTTTTCTAACGTTGAATTTGACTTGGTCTAGCATTTTGAAGTGGCTTACAAGATATGGGGTCAACTCTTTGTTTAGAATGCTTTGATCTTTGAAAAGTTGGTATTTTGTGTGCAAAGCAAATTTCAGACCAGATAATGTAGATTTTCTTTCATCAAACCAAGAAAAAAGTAGAATCCCAGCACTGAATCTTTAATTTTTCAACGGTTGACCATGTTATCACATCAAAAGAGCTAATTGAAGAAGAGAAATTGCTCAAAAATACAAAGGTGATGTGAAGTGGAAGAGTAGATCACCAATACGATTTTCATGCTCAATTCATCCAATCAACCGACACGTCATTGACGAAAATTAGAAATCGTAACACTTATGGTTGCTTCTTATTATCCACAAAGGCTACACAAATGAAGGTGTAATCACGATATAAAATTAGCAACAAAGGCAGGAAGAAGAAGAAGAAAAACAGTGGACGCAGTCATATAGAAAAGCTATCGTGCTTTTCTAAAGATAGAGGAAACAATTACACGCATAAGGAGACAAGGGAGACAACCAATAAATATATAGAGTGTGTTTGGGAGAAATTTTTGTGGGATTTTAATCAAAATTATAGCCGTTAAAGTCAACCTGTGGGTTCCACCTGTGAGAAGGAATGTCAAAAATGGTGGCTGATTTGATAGTTAACGACTAGATTTTTGATTAAAATCTTGATTAAAATTTCTCCCAAACAGGGCCATAATATTAGGGTACAGTGATGGGCCAAGCCCAATAAGGTAGATAAGTGGGTTGTGCACCACTAAGTGAGCTAACATTTATAAGCCATCCAAATAAGTGGGAAAGAGGCTATGAGCAGCATTAATTAAAGGGAAGATTACTTATTCAAGAAAATAAGTTTAGCATATTTCAAAAATAAGAAAACAAGTTTGAAATGTCCAAAATCAGATTTTTATTAAAAAAATTTAAAATTTTATTTATGAAATAATAAATTATTAAATTAATTTATTATTAAATATTTAATTATAATATAATATAATTAACCCATCCCACCTTCACCACCCCTACAGCTCCGACGACCGTTCCGATCACCGCCCTACTTCGACGGACTTTCCAACCACCGTTCCTGGTCGATTTTTCCAGCGACTGCTCCGCTATATTTTTTTGTACGGTTAACATGTTTTTTTTACGGTCACAACCCAGGTCACAAGTCACAGCTCAGGTCACAAGTCACAAGTCAAGAGTCACAACCCATATCACAAGTCCTAGCTCAGGTCACGAGTCATAAGTTAAGACTCACAGCCCAGGTCACAAGTTACAGGCCAGGTCACAAGTCATAAATCAAGTCACATGCCAGGTCATAAGTCACAACACATGATTGTTTATTTATAATGATTGATAACATGATAATTTTTATCTATCAATCACATATTTTCAAATTTTGGAAAGTAATTGAACTCCGTTTGGGATCAGGGTTCTTGATCCCTCGAGCATTTAGAGGACACTGAAGAACATGTAGGGGTCATCAAATTTTGTGAAAATTCATTTTTTCGAATGAATTCTGAGCATTTCCATCTCCAGTTGCTGTTGTTTATTTGGATTCATGGTGATAGTTATATATATCTTATTGTATTATTATTAGTGAGCATACACATTTACATGTAACTTTTGTGGTGAAGAAAGGCTGTCACATTTTTTCTCCTCTTGTTGGCTTTTATATTGCTATTGTTCATTGGAAACTTTAATATATTATTTTGTTTAGTTTTGGGTGATACTTAAATTGCAAAATTTGAAATAATTAACCATCATTTGAAATACTTAAACAACTGGGAAAGAGAAACCAGAGGGCCGCTCAACTACCAATTCCAAATCAAACCACAAAGCTGGCCCAAAAAGCAGCCGTGTGCAAGAAGAACACATGTGGGTCGGACACACACCCTCCTTGCCGGAGATATCCCTAATATTAAGCACTGGAAGGACTGCCGGAATCTGGTCCCTACCTACCGATGGAACCCTTCCTGCCCAACGACCACAACAAGCATTCCGGCAACTCGACGGCAAGCCTCCCTCAGGCAACCACAACCCAAAAACCACATGGAGCGAGACCACCTTCGCCACCAGTCAAGGCAGAGCTGGAGAACCCCGCCCCAACACCAACCGGACAACATACCACCAACCAAACACCACCCAAACACTACCAACCCAAACACCACCCAAACCACTCCAGCTCGCCTCAAAAAGACACTACTGAAGAAAAACGAAAAACGGAGGGGAAAGAAAGAGGAGGGGGGAGAGGAAGCCTCGGTGGTGACAAGTAATGAAGACATTTCTGCTTCTTCAAATCTGTATAATTCTTCTTCAAATCTGCGTTGGAGATTCTCTTCCGGTGGTGACGTCGCTGCGCAGGAGCTTCTCCAGGGGACGGCGCTACTACTGAGAGAAGAATGGAGTAGGTTTGAGAGATGGAGAGAGGGGGAGGAGAGTAAGGAGAATTACATCGATCGCGGCGTTGGATTCACCGCCTGTCGCCGGTGACGCTCCTCCGATGAAGCACCTTCTCATCTTCCCCTGCTGAGATTGGTAGACAGTGAATGAGAGGAGAGAGAGAAGGGAAGGGGTAGAGAGAGAAAGGAAATGAATTTTGTTTTGGAAATGAATTAGGGTAGTAAAAATATTTATTTTATAAAAATATTAATTAAAATAAAAAATCTGATTTTGGAAATATAAAACTTTCAATCTTATTTTAGAAGTTTAAAAACTTAAAGTATGGTTTCGCGTAATTACCACATAATTAAATTAGACGGTTTCAAATGACCCAAATATTGTTAAGATCGAGTCATTTCATTGAGGTGTCAATTTTCGTTCAGTTATTTGGTCAATGCCAACTGAGAAAATATACTTAGTTATATCATTATTCGGGAGGTCGTTTGACAACAATTTACTCAACAAACCTCCACTTTGGTGTCAAAGGACCTGCAATGAAGACATTATCACCTGTTAGTAACAATTTCGAAAATGGGAACCGATAAAATTGAAACTTAGTTACCTCCACTGATATTTAGAAGGTCCTTGCAACTTTTAAATTTCACCAATGGCAGCACCTTAGTGTCTATGTCCAAAGAATTATATTGTGTATGTATCTTTTCAAGTGTTATCACTTTTTGTGATACAACATCTCTAATAAAGTATAGCCAACATTAATGTGTTTGGTGCGTTCGTGAAAAATAAATTTTTTCCATAGATATATAGAAGATTGACTATCTGAATAAACTACTACGTAGTCTTTTAAAACACAAAGTTGATGAAGCAAACATTTAAACATCAAAACTTCTTTAATTGCTTTAGTAACACCAATATATTCAGATTATGTCCTAGATAGTACAACTGTGCTGTAACTATGATTTTCAACTAATACAAGAGTTAGACAAAGTAAATACATAGAAAAAAATTGATTTTCTATTATCTATATCACCAGCATAGTCTGCATCTACAAAACCATTCAATTTCACACCTTCTTTATTAGCACCAAACTTTAGACATACATCTCTAGTCCCCTTTAAATACCTTAATATCCATTTTAAGACTTTCCAATCCTCATGAACCGAATTAGACATGTACCTACTAAGAGTGCTAACAGCAAATGCTCAATCCGATCTAGTGAAAACCATCAAATACATAATAGATCCATTCACATAAGAGTATGAAATCCTATTCATATACTCTCTCTTTTTTTTAATTACATAGAGCTCGATCTTTGGATAATGCAAAATGATTAGTTAAAGGTAATGTAACAAGTTTGCTATCATACATGCCAAATGTTTTTAACACATTTGGAATATAACACGACAGAATTTGACGTATCACTTTCAATTTTAATACCTAAAATTTTCTTAACTTTACCTAAATCTTTCATCTCAAATTCGATGTTCAACTTTGTTTTATCTTACTTATCCACTCAGGTGATGAACCAATTAAGAGTATATCATCCACATATAACAATAAAAGCAAATAATCATTATTAGCATCATCATATTGGACGTACAGACTATGATCAAACTTACTCTTTTGAAACCCTATAGTGAGTACAAAAAAATCAAATATTTTATACAACTGTCTAGATGATTACTTTAGGCCATATAAAGATTTTTTTAAGAAGCATACAAGATCATGTTTTAGTTTATCTTTAACACCTTTTGATTGATTCATAAATATTTGCTCATCAAGTTCACTATGTAAAAAAATAGTTTTTACAACAAATTATTCAAGTTCCTAGTCAAAATGTGGAACCAATGCAAGCGTGAACCTAATAATGGTGTACTTTACAACCGGTGAAAAAATCTCGTTATAATCAACACCCTCCTTTTAAGTGTATTCCTTGGCCACCAATCTAACTTTAAATTTTAAGGGATCATATGCATTATTACCCTTATTAACCTTAAAAACCCACTTACAGTAAACTGTAGATTTATTCTTAGGTCTAGGTACTAGTTTTCAAGTTTGATTCTTTTTTAAGGAACTCATATTCTCTTTCATTGCTTTAAAACACTATTCATCGCCTCCTTAAAAAGTTTTTGGTTCACCCTCAGAGTAACCTAGAAAAACACATTTACTAACTCTCGATTCAAGCTTTCCCTCACTCTGATGAGAATATGCAGCACATCCAAAAGTTATAAGCACTAAATAAT